CTCTGAGTGTTGGACCCTTGTTGCAACATTATAGCTGAGGCTGGAGCCTGCTTGCGCACCGCATGTTTCTACGATGCAGACAAGTGACTCCTGATCCTGGACTGTCAGGCTTTGCATCTTAGGTTTCAGGCCCAAGTAAGCCTCTCTCCACGCGCCCTGAAACCTCCCGGTCCCCTGCCTTGTAAATCATGTTTTCACGATAGAATTCCGGAGCATTATGCATCTACATGGCTCGTGGCTTGATTTTGCCCACCCTTGGCAGCTATCAGTTCTTGAGGGAAGCTTCAGATTGCAAGTGATATTCGTTTCATGCTCAGTTGTTCGGTGGACAAAGAGCTTCTTTGCAATGACTGGCCTCTTTAAAGCGTCAAATGGATAGGGATGTAGCTTAGACCTCCCCGAACACGGTGACATATCCTCTACCAAGCCAAGCTGCTTTGGAAGTTTGATCTCATCCAGTGTCTGCCTGCAGCCGAGGTGCAGCTTTACTCTGCCAAGTAGGCTGCTTTGAGGGACTCTGACTTTTCTTTTAGGTTGGGCTGTAAACTGTAACGGGTGCAGAATGCTGGACGAGCTCACTCTGCATTTCCTCAAAGTTTGCTTGGCCCCGAATGTCAGACAATCGGGGTTCGCCATGAGAAGGGTCTAGGATTGGGGGTTTGAGGTTGAAGGTAGGGATGGGCCTGTATCTTCGGGCTTCCTCTGCCCCATCCTGCTTGCTTTGGAGCTGATATAGCATGTGGAGCTCAACGTCCGAATCCGGATCTATGAAGGGTCGTTGGGCGACAAAACGTGAAGCTTAGAGCCTCTCTCGAAATCAGGCCTCGATAGCTGCCGGCAGCCTCTTCATCAGGGTCTATGTTTGAGTGATGACTTCATTGCAGCATCTGGAACAAGCCTTACAAGTGGCCTTGTCGGAAAGTTACTGCCGCCACCAGTACTCTCAAACACTTCGCAGAATGGACAGGAAGGCGCTAGAGCTTCGACGGCCATACTTGTCATCGTCAACTATCAACACGTTCTCTCCACAAGCCATAAAAGACTAATGCTAACATATCAAGTCGAACTCCTGCATGCTGCCTACAAAACCCACATAAAAGATCTCACGGCAGCGAAGATGTAGCCTGATCAGAAGTCCACCTCCGAAGGCTGCTGCAACATTTAGCATGCCTCAGCTAAGTAGGTGGTGGTTTCTTTTCTCGAGATTCAGCTAGCTGGCTACCAAGGGGCCCTCGAGGAGTTTATGCAAACATATATATATATATGTATATCGCATTACAAAGGGATGACGGGGGTTGCAGGGATCATGTAGTGGTTTTCCGATAGTACGTAGCACCATGCGATCCCCCGGCTGAGGATTCACTACACTGTGGGACTGCAGGGAATATGTGGGGATATAAAGGGGCTTCCAGGGGGTAGGCTGGCTACGAAATATGAGCACAATCCAAAAGACTGACCACAAGCAGCCACAGGCGCTTCACCCTGCTACGAATTGGGAGCCTTCTGGCCCAGTGCCGAGGAATGCAAAGGTGCATGTGCGAACTTTCTAGGCGATATCGTGTGTGGAGGAATCCCATTCCCAAACTTGATTCCGAGAAGCACAGTTTTAGACTTGATTTCAAAGGGAGTTGGGCTTTCTCACCTGGAGGAGCGTGGGATTGGATTCCGCGAGACTTTCTTGAGCATTTACAAGGTTGTTTTGAGAAACTCGCACGTCAAAGGTCACAAGTGGCCCATCCTGGAATTCTTAAGAGCGGTGTGTGCCAGAAGGCCCTGGAGATATACAAGGCTCGTAAGAGAATCTCAATTAGGGTTTCCATATGTGTTCGACTCTGTGTAGATTGCATTGAGGGAAATTCCCCTGTCCTAGAGTTTCCAGGCTTCTCCATTGGCCCTGCCCTTGTCAGCCAACATTGAGGGCTCTACTGATCGCATACTTCCCGAAACCCCAAACGCTGAACCTGGAAAAGGGTTGACTTCTAGGGTCAAGGGCGGTTGCGGGGCCGAGCCTTTGAGAAGGCAGAGCTGCAATCTGTAGCTTGGTACATCTTCCTGTTTTCGGAATCACAATGTCCAAGGCTTCGATTTCTTTTCATCTTCAGCCCTTCCTTCAATCTGTCTTGCCCAAAAGATTGGAACAAAGCCTCCCGTCCTGAATGATCTCCAGATGCGATGCCCTCGATAGGAGTGCTGCAAACCTCAAAATATCGAAAGAGATGTGCGTATATGCTTCAACCATTCTAGGCCAAGCCACGCAGCTTGACTAGTCTTACAAAAAACCCTGACGAACCCAACGACCCCCAAACCAAACCTGAAATAGTTGCAGTCTGGTCACCAGGCTGATGAAAGCAGGCTTTGTGTTTTGTACAGTAGGGAGCGGAAGTTTGCCGAAAGGCAAATACGTGACACCCCACGCAGCCCCTACAATGCTCACGGGGAAGAGTCTTTGAAAAATGGTCTCTTTCGTGGCTCTCGCTGCCGCTTGAAGATTTACCGTTGTTGGATTTTTTGGATCTACGCTTGGAACTTCATGCTTTCAACAATGGTCATCTGGTGCGCTCTGTGAACAATCCCCCATGCCATCCTGAGAATCGGTGCATATCATCCCGAGCATATACCGACCGAGTGTCCTTGCAAGAGCTATCCCTGTGTTCCAGAAACACCCACTTCAGAAGGGCTTGAACATGCAGGGTACAGCAGCAAAATGGACCAATACGCCATGCACATTTGTTGCGAGCTGACTTGACTGGACACAAAGGGTTGCCGGACAGCACGGTGGCCTTGCAACACGACGTTCAAAAATCACTTCAAGCGGCAAAGTCGCTTAAGGAACCTGTACTGTGCAACCAGAACGAAATGCGACCCACAGGGTCAAGTTGACGTTCGCACATGGTACAGAAACGCTAACTTACTAGAGTGGAACATGCCAAATTGCAACAAACCTTTTCGGTTTCAGCACGCGCGTAAGGAAGACCCAAACATGTCACAACGGAAGGTAGGCTCTCGAGACCTCTACTCCAAGCAAGCAAACCAACCTGCCGCTCTTTCTCGTCTGATCCTCGTGATGAACGCTATTTGATCCCAGACTTGACAGAGAAACCTGAATGCTCACCTGAGAATCAGAAGTGGGTCTTATTGAAGCAGACGCTTCTGACAGCCCAGCCAACCTTTCGGCGATCCACCCCGACGCAGCACCTGGATGAAAGTGTTGTTCTGGGGGTGAAGCCCAGAAAGTCTTGAAGACTTCACAAGGCCAGGCGCTCGCTACTGCAATTGCGCAATTCCGATGCCAGTGCATGCTTACACAGCAAAGGACATCATGAGACAGTGGTAACATGTAGCAACATCAGTAACATGCTTCCAGCTGGTGACTTCCAGTCACTGCTTTTATTCTTGCTCGTGCTCTTTAATGTCCACAACTCATATCATTACGGCCGCTGCCGCCGCTGCTGCTACTACTGCTATTATTACTACTACTACTACTGCTGCTACTACTACTACTACCACTACTACTACCACCACCACCACCACCACCACCACCACCTCCGCCGCCGCCGCCGCCGCCACCACCACCACCACCACCACGACGACGACGACGACGACTACTACGACGACTACTACTACTACTACTACTATTATAATTATTACCAGTACAACTATTACGAAAGGCCCTGAACAAAATGGCGGAGAAAGCTGAGGCCGCCAGCCGGTCCATCATGGGCCTGCTGCTGACTGGTGCTTAAGCTGGAGTGGGGGAGAGGATACAGGGTTTAGGGGCGGTTTGGGGGTTTAGGGGTTAGGGTTTACTACTGTAGGGGAACATATAAAAATGACTGATGTGTAGGGGAACATATAAAAAATGACCATAGAGATCAACTCCCCCGCAAGTATCAGAAATGAGAGGGATGGGCATCGCATGCGATTCGCACAGAGCCTAACATGCTTTACCAGGCTTCCTGTAGGAATTGCCAGAAAACCCTGAAACCTAAACCCTGAACCCTAAGCCCTAAACCCAAATTACCACGTCCAGGGATGACAAACCCCAAGCATGGACGCCCGGAAACGAAATACAAGGCATTAACCATTCTGGGGATATATAAGGGTGTATATAGGTATATGTAGGGGTGTATAGGGTTTAGGGTTTCCCGAACTTACGGTTACCATTTTGGGGGTCCCAGCAATGAGGATTCTACGATCTAGGGGTCTGTGTTGCCATCTAGTAATGGGAAACTACGCCACTAACCTTAAGATTAGCAAACAGGCACAACCGCCAGCACTCCCCTTTCGCTGAAGGCCGCAAACCTTATTGAGGTTGGTTGGCCGGAGTCACCTCATTGTTACCCTAAAAGGAACTTCTTGTTTAAGTCCCTGACCAAAAGCCTAAGCCGCAAGTGCGGAATCCGTGACAATACGATCCACGTAGTAAGCTATTTACAGCCCCCTCCCCAAATTGTAAGCCCTCGACCCTTGAACCCGAGGACCCAGGTACCTGGGGGTAATGGGCAGTTCTAAGCAGGGTGATAGACACCTCGCATAATGTGATGACCAGCTATAACTATAATTGTCCTACTTGAAACTTTAGTTAACTACCCATGAACCGGCAAGTAGCCTCCCCCAAACTGACATGGCAACCCCCGAAAAGGCGATACGAGGTAGTTACATGTTACGTTGTGGCCAAACAAACCCATAGAATGTCCCTATAAAACCCTGCATTAGTAGTCCCTATCAAGCCTTTGACCCTCAGCCCTGAACCCTTAACCTTTAAAAAATGAACCCTAAGGGTCCAAGTGCCTAATAATCATATACTTACCCAAAACCTGCACTAGAATTACTATTACCCAACACCCAAGTACCTAATTATGGGTTACTAGGACCCTCTGGGGAAGCTTTGCCTTCACTTCCCTGAACCCTTAACCCCAAACAGTAGCTTCCATTTTCTTTTCCATTATCCCTATATATCCCCTATATAACCCCTAAATTATCCCAACTAAACCCCTTGCCTTCACTTCGCTGGGGCCCGTCGGCTTCTTCTTCCTCTTTGCCTTGCCTTTGGCCTTTGGCGCCTTTTTGGCAGAGCCCAAGACCTGCAGCTGAAAGGAGAACCTTAAGTAAGCTGTGAATGACAAGGGGGCTTTCACGAATAGGGGGATTTTGGTAACCCCAACCCCCAAAAGTAGGACCCTATAACCATCATATGATAGTCATAGGGTCCTAATTTTGGGGGTTGGTTTAGGAACAGTTCAAAATAGCTTGCAGAGTTTAAACACATGTTCGGAAGGGAATTGCACACAATGTTCATATTGGGGGCTTTGGGACACGAATCCAGTAATGGAGAATGAAATGGACAAGAAAATCAAACAACGAAGGGGACACCGGAATTCTGTAGTGGTTTACAGGGATTAGGGCTGCCCACAATTGCGAATCTCTGTGGGACAACTACAAACATCCCTACAATAAGGATAGGGTTGTACTACTGCATTCCTTGTATCCCCCTCAATTGCCTGTATAGTACTCCCCTATACTTTCCCTATATAAGCCCCTTTAAAGAGTTCAGACCATATCTCACATAGGGGATCCAGGAGTCTCCCATTTTATGCCAACTCCTTGATGTCTTGACGGGTAGGGGTTGGGCGCTATACGGTTTAGGGTCTAGGCCAAAATGAAGAAAAAACAGCTGGACACAGTCAGTTGTAAAAGTACATTGCAGTAGTTGATTGCCTCGCAATGAGCAGGGTCTTCCAAATAGGGTCAGGGGCCCAGACGAGATCTTTAAGAAGCTAATTCTCTCCAAAACGCCTCCAATCAGATATCTTGAGCAACTACCATACGGGAAGGTCACTGTTTGGGCACATGGTTTGATAGCCGGTAGTGGCGAGGACAAGAAGATGAAGAGAAGCAGGTCCTGCAACCTAAGCTCTCAGAAGCCCTCCAGCCGTCTCAAGTCTAAACCCTTTCGCATCCTTTCGCCAACATTCTGCCTTACTGCCTGTTAATTTTCGACTCACTTTCGCGCAGGCACTTTTTAGAGTACTGAGCATCAATGCCCAGAACCCTCGAATCCCAGGCCCATGTTCAGTTTCCTGGGGGCCCTACTGTTTCTGCGGAGGGGGGCCTTGACAAAGTGAGTGCCACAGTATACCCTAGATGCAGGCCTAGACAACAGTAAATTGAGGTCTGAGAACTGCCTGAGCTCCTCAAACTCTATACCTTATATATTGGGATAATAGAAAAGAAAATGGAAACTACTAAAATGGGCTATATAGTGTATATAATATTGGGATTATATTGGGATAATGGAGAAGAAAATGGAAACTATTATATGTTGGGGGTTGCCGTTAAGGAGCTTAGACTAACTTGTTGTAATATGGGTATGTCGTAAATAATACGGTTTCCATGTTATGGTGGTTTAATGTAAGCTCTTTGACAACAAGCCGGTAAATCCAAACCTCAGACCCCGCTAATGATAAGCCTCTACCTGAACCCAAACCCCCCCAACCTAGACCCCGGACCTAGTCCCCAAACCCGTACGTAGAAGTCTGACTAGAACCGTAGCACGTTTAGGCTCCTACATCGGATCACCCTAAGCCTTAAGCGCATAACCCCGCTGAACCCGGACCCCTGAACTCTTCAACCCGAAGCCCTTAAATCCCCACACCACAATCAAGCCATAAACCCTTAAACCCTAAAGCCTAGAATCCTCAACACATCAACCCTGAAACCCTAAAGTCCTTAGCCTTAGCCTCAACTCTAAAACCATCAAAAACCGAAACCTCTAAACCCCTAAATCTCAACCTTCTATCCAGACCGCCTGGACCGGCTCCAGGGGATCCAGCTCTTCCAAATTCCAAAGCCTTTGCTGTTTAGGGTTTAGGGCGTACGGCTTTATAGGGTTTAGGGTTGAGGGTTTAGGGTTAAGGAAATTAATTTAAGTTACTATAATGGGGCAATCGTATTAGCTACGAAATATACCCAGTATGGTAATGTAGTTTAAGTTCGCTTACAGCAAACCAGTTTGAGCTGCAGGGTTTAATGGACTATCGGGTTTAGGATGCAGGGCTCAAGGGACTATACGGGTTATGAAAGGGGTATAAGGGAAGGAGGTAAGGTTTCGGGTTGTTAGTTTTGGGGGATTTGCGGTCTATGATTTTGGGCTTGGGTTATGGGACTATGGGCTTCTGGAGTTCAGGGAAGAGGGCCAAGGAATTAAGATCCACAGCCTTGGCTTTTGGAACTTCAAGAAAGGTTGGGTTTGTAGCTTGGTGCTTGGATGTGCGAACCCGAAGTTCTGCACCCTAAACCGTGTGGCTGGTGGTAGCTCGGAGGACAGTGATTTGGGCTTGAGAAGTCTGCTCAGCCTTTTGTTTGACAAGGCTTTGGCTAGAATTGGCTAATGTGCTTACCACTGTACTGGCACAAGGCTCTGAACTTTACATGAAGCAGGGAGATGGAATGATTGACGGCGTAGCGTTTGCATATTCAATAAAGGTGGGGATTCCATATGGAACTTGGGCGATATTAGTGTGCCCGATGTAGGGAAACTTGCATAGGAATATTTTTTTTGCATAGGCACCCCGCAATAGCGAGCCGTACTACAACGAATTGGAGGCATCCCCACGTGATTCTGGTCCACTATGGCGAGCTGCGCTGACAATCTCATCCTTAACGTACGTGAGCAACAACGGAATCGTGACATGTTCCCTACGCATGAGGGACATCGATGGGAACCCGAAGGTGTTCCTCAAAAAACTACACTTCTTCTGCGTCTGCTCCTCCTGCTTCTGCTGCCGCTTCCATGAACACAACTTTTCCAGCTGATCCTCTTTTGGTTCTATAATCACAACTGCTGCTTCCAGCACTCTTTTGCTTTCAGGGGTTAGTAGGGAGTAAGGGAATATACTACATAGGGATTATATAGGGATCATTGAATCATGTTCTCAGATTCCCTGCTAAAAGCCCAGTAATTTTGCCACTCCCGGTGGCTGAATGGTGTGATCGATGGAGCCAACGGCGGCATAACAGCCGCTGTCATTGGAGGAGGTGCGCCCCATCCACCTCAGAGAGAACAACAAAACCACGTCTCATCCTTGGATCCTTCCAACATTGACGTACACCTAAAAACCAGCCGCAACAAACGTGGCCTTATGGCTGCCTGGTACACGATGGTGAACAAAACTCAGAAACGACATTTTTCAAAAAACCTTGCCCAGACACTCCACACACAACGGGTAAGCAGAAAGACCGATCCTTGGCTGTGCTCTGGGTACGGTCACCAGAGGAATCTTCTTCTGGGTATACCTACTTGTTGTGAATGCGATAAGGAGACTATCATTCCGAGAAATCCGTATCCCTGATTGACAGCTCACTTCCATGAGGTGGGCTGCCACATCCTCGGGCAATGCTGATGATACAGCCCCGCCACAGAAAACACAAGACGACGTTGGTTCCTGTCTTTGCGATTGTCAAGGCCCAGTCTCCCCCAAACGACAGCGCGCCTGCTTGTAAAGAATAGAAAGCAGGTTGGCTCTTGGCAGGGGATTACTTTGTAGGATCTTCTCAAACTACGTACTTGCGTCTTTCGCCGCCATGAAAGGTATGCAAATTTAATTTTAGGGATAGTCAAAGCATATGCAGCCTCAACTGTAGGAAGCACTGGCAGGCGTGGCGATTTTGGGAGCTGGGAGGTGGAAGGCTGAATCTTGCACTGACACGAAAGCCTACGAGCAGTGGGTTAGGAGGCATTTTTTGTTGTGTTACGTGTTTAAGAATAAGAACGGACAATTCAACATATTCACAAGAAAAACTTTAG